GCAGCCACCTGTGCCCTGTACTACGAAGCTAGTTCAACAGACCCTGGATATGTTTGAGTTATCTTAACTAACCCTAACAAACGAGATCTCGCTAAGCGGTCCTACAACGCTGGTTATCAACTCGGTAAATCAAGCCAGGGTTTCTCTCTCCAGCTGAAAGCGTTTACGTGAAAGGGGCGGGGTTAACTAGGGACAAGTCAGAGTCGTATCTGTGACAAGTGTACTGACAGCGCAGCGTCATACTTCATTAATGTAAGTAAACTAATATTAGACAAATATGAACTTTAAACATCCATGACTTAAACATATAATCCAGGATACAAGCCACATAGTACCAGCAAAGTAAATACAGAACAACTGGTTAAAAAATAAATAAACTACTGAGTGTTTGAAAGCGTACAACAGTTATATGATATCACTGCCCCATCTAGACACGAGTGGATCTGACTTTAATTACATTTAATTACTGTTTCGTCAACCTAATGTGTAGCTTAAAATAATACTTCTGCATACAGTATGTGACACTGTGAGTGTTGCACGGCCAGATTCGGCTCGAGAAGCTGACTCAGATAAGGAAATATATGACACATTATGATATTATATGATCGATGATTTGATATGAATGATAAGTGCGTCACGTCGGTGTCTTCTCTGCATACGGTAGTTTAAACTGTATTTCCTTTATCCTGTAATATGACTTGATATATTTAAACTCCGCAAACTGAGCTCAGATTGGTCAGCAGGCGGTGCTTTCACTGAGTTGATCTCTTTTCTATAGACACCGGAGGCGGGCAGCGTCAGGTAAACATTTTTATTTAGCCTTCCCTAACCTGAGCCTCACGCGCCGCCTATGACCTCAGGTCAAAAATGCATAACATCAATTGGCCTGAAAAGAGACGCTTGCTCCTTTGTCTCCTTTTATCACAGATTATATATTTTATATGCATCTTTTTGTTTCTTTATTTTAACCTAAATATACACAACAGAATATACCGCACACAATCTTTTTGACAATTCTTGATTTATGAAAGAACATCACTTGGCAAAAGAGCAGGCATCATTTATCCAGCAGCTGCCTTAGCACTAGCTTGTAATAAAACTGCAGAAATAGGTTGATTAATTCATTAAGAAAAAAAACCTGCAGATTAATTTATAAAAAAGTTGTTTGTTACAACTCTAAACTGTGCCACTGGTTTGTGTGTGCATGTGAACAGGCAGAGTTGATGAAATGTGAGATAAGAAGTGATCACATTTAATCAGTTCACTCCGGCTCTGCAAGCAGAAATCTCGATTGATTGAGCTCTCCACTTTGCAGACGTAGACTTCTTGGAAATGGCTTTGGGCATCAGATGGTCAACGATTGCTGGCACCGTGGTGGCATCAGTGGTGCGATCGTTCAGTGTTTGGCCAGCCATTGAGTCCCTTGAGAAAATGTACGTATAATGAATGCCCAACAGATGGGTCTCCATCTCTCTTTTTACCCCAACTACAAGTCTTGATAGATGGCTGCTTGTGTCAGGATGGCAGCAAATGAAGAGCAACTAGAATAATTAATGACCTAATATCATTCTCAGTCAAGCTGCCATAAAAGAGATATCCTCAGCCTAATGTTCAAAATGTATTCACAGGAGAGAGCCATAACGTTGATGTTCATGATTCATATGCGAGTTGTCAGCCCTTTGCTTAAGAAAGGTAGATTGAATGGGAGAGTATGTAAAGGCTATGAAAATGGTGTCAGCGCACTACTAAGCTCGGAGAGCCACATGTTAAGCCACCTTGAAGAGGTGCTGGAGTGTTTCTTTCAACTCCCTTGATAACACACCCCTAAGAGATTAAGTCTATAATTCATACTTTGCCCTGGTTCAACTTCAACTTTGTAAATTAGATGCCTTTCATAATGTTTGCGAATGTGTTTTTTTTGTTGCCGTAGTTATTCTTAACAGTAGTTTACACCTCGGCAAAAGAAGGAGCTTATTCCTTGTAGAATATGTAAGTAATGTTGGACCTTTCTATTTGAGATAGATAGATAGCTATATACATAGTTTATTGATCCCAATGTGGGAAATTATGTGTTACAGAAGAAGCATCAGTGTGTTCAGACATTAAATTAAAACACCATCATTTGTGATAAGGAAAATGAAGTCCTAACCAACATTTTTTTTTTTTACATATTGTCAATATTATATATATATGTCATAACAAAAATACAATAAACTGGCAAATTAAAAGTCAAATTCAAGAGTCATTTTTACTAAAGAATATCTTGCTATATTCAGGTTTTTGTTCCAGGTTATTGGTGAGCAGAGTTGCTAATCAATCACCTGCTGCAGCAGCCAGATGCTGATGCATTGCGTCCCATTATGAATGTAGTTATAAGATGTCTAAACAGTCATCTCACTCATTAAATACATGGCCTTTGCGGTGTGATGTATCACCACTGCATCACAAAGAGCTGTCAGTATATTAGGTTTAATTTGGGTAAAACTAATGAAGTCTAATGCATAAATTCTGCAATAAGTCTTACCTCGATGAACAATATAATATTCTGCTCTGAAGCTGCTCTTTTATCTGAATCATCATTTAGGAGGCTGTTTGTGATGTTGTATTTCATTATACTTATAATGCTCTCTAATAGTAACAGCGCCACAAACTACATATCCCAAAAGCCTTTTCAGTCAACACTTTACAAAGGTAAGATGTTTTGCAGGTCTCTTCAATGCATTGTACCTGATTGAAAACGGTATGCTTTTTTTCATGTTGTTGCGTCAAACATATATCAGAATCAGAATCCCTTTATTCGTCCCACAGAGTGGACATTTGCATTTGTTACAGCAAGAGCCAAAGATAGCGTAATATTAACCAAAAAGCATGCATGCAATTGTCTTTTTGGAAATTACAACATAAAAAATGATATATGCAGATAAATAAGTGTATCTCTGTTGCATTTGAAGAGAAGTGAAGAGATATTCTTAATTAAGAACCATAATGGTACATTCACAGACTCGGCTACAGGGACTATGAAGTGTTTAGTAGACCGCAGATAGCCCTGCCTGTGTGAGGGTCCTTTGGTTTTACACAGATGATCATTATTTTGAATGGCCCAACATAACAGCATGCATAAAATAATATGTTATTCTTGACTCCTTGATTGTGGTCTCGGTATAAATGCATGCCTTTTCAAGTGCTCAACTTCGATGTTTCTTAAGCCCACACGTTTGGACAGAGGAGATATCTAGAATGAAATGTCACATAGAAAATGCAAAGATAGCAGGAGCGGTGCAGGATAAGCCCCAGGAATAATGAGCTGCTCTGGGCTGATGTTTACTCTCATTTTCTACTTCACCCCATCTGCCTGCAGCACACCTGCCTGAGAGCAGCATCAGTACGCCCATACAGGAGCCGGGGAATATTGATTAAGACTGCTGACATTTCTACTTCTTCTCACTCCGTCTGGGTACAACATGTGCCGTTTTACAGATGAGGGCAGGTTACACGAACACAGAGCATAATTACATCAGTAAAACATTGAATTTATCTCGTTTTTAAGAGCTTCTACAGTACAAATCGTATCTACAGGGTTAAAATATATATTATCTTAAATCATTTGCTTATTTTGCAACAGGTGGAGCACAGACAATCTGATAAGAGACCAAAAGACTGGAAAGCTTTTTGCTCATTCTGTAGATACTTATATGTGGCACACAAGCTGTTGCGTGTTGATGGCGTGTAGATGGAGTTTTTGTCCAACTAGGCACTCAGTTTTATGTTACTGTCACACTCTTAAGCTCCAGTATGCATTATTTTATAACATGTTTTGTCCATTCCTTCCTGCCCTTTTCTTTATATTCTCTCTATCTACAGTACTTCCTCTTAAAGCCTTGTAAAACTGAAGGGGTCCATGCACTCACAGAAGGGGCCCAGCTGCTTTTATTTCTACAATATCTAATTTTAGTGCTTTGTCAATACACACATTTCATAAAAAAATCTATATTCTCTATTTGATGTGGCGATTTAGCACCTTCTTTACTTTAATAGCCTGTTTCAACAGGGGCTAGAAACACATTGGTGAGATTAATTGCAGAGTAAAGTGTCCGTGTCACTCTCAGCGCATTTGCACTGATTGATCGGTTGTACATTAATGATCCTGCTGTCAGAAATCCTATACATTTATCGCGGCTGCAATTACAATTCTGAATTTGTTTCCTCATCTCATTTACAGAGCATCAATGTCAGAGTCTATGGATTGCTGTTTAAGGTTATAATCACCTACAGTGGGAAATCATTGCAATATTTTCTTTTCAGATGTCTTTTTCCCTTCTGTGTTGAAAATCTGTGTGTGCAGGAGAAATCAATCATAATTAACCTCCGGAAACATTGAGTGTGGTAAATGTTTCCATGGGACTGATATTCAGCCTTATAAGAAGATGATCCGATTACTGTTGATTTGATTATCCTGTATTATTGTCTAATTATTTACATTGAATGAGTCTCATAAACAAACAAGACCAGCAACACTATTTCTAATTTTCTGCCACTTAAAAGGTTCAAACTAAACAATCTGAGAAGGAAAATATATGAATGTATTGAACTGCTCCTAACTCATAGACAAACAACTTGACACGAGCGGGAACAAGAAGATATTTGAATTTAGGAAAAAAACACTAAAAAGGGAATCAATGGTCCAGGGGCGCAAGCCAGAACTTCAGTCTTGTTTAATGACAAATGATAATACTTGAGTAATCTCATCAACTTCAATATAAGTTTAAGAGATAATTTATAGATGAATACGAAGGGAAAAGATACTAAAATGTTAAAGACAATATCTATAAATGTGTAGGTTTATATTAAGGCAAATATGCAATATCTTTTAAATCACATGCCTACACTAAGATTGTCTGTTGTCCATGCAAACAACAGATTTGTATTGATGTTCATGTACCTTTTTTATAAACCTTTAAGCCACGATAATTGAATGACTCTTTCTCCTCTGTCCTGTTTAGGTGCTGAGCAAACGGCTAGCAGAAAGTACGAGCTGTGGAAAGACTCGGAGGTGAATGACGACAGAATGTCAAGCCAGTTGACCGTTTCTTTTTGAATGGATTAGAGGTCAGTGTAAATCTCATTACAGAATAAATAACAAAGTGTATCAACAGCACAACCTCTTCTGCAGGCCAATTTGTCTCTGTTAAATCTTACATTTTCTGCTTGCTCTAATGTCTACCGTGGAAAATGGCCCAGTCTAGCTTGCATGATGAAATGATAAGCATTGATGTTACAAGTCCCCCAAAGCCCTGCATTCCTCCTCTCGTCATCACTGAATCATCTTTGGTAGAACGAGGAGAGATGGACATCTTTGAACTAACGGGGTTCATTATCTTGTACAACACGGGTAAATGTGTGTGTCTATGAAGAGGCACACACCCCCATACAGCACTGTTATATTATCTGGATAATAACACACCACTTACTTAGTATCGTGGCTGATATTTTAAACAGCTGTGTCACAGGGTCAGCGTGTTTTTAATCATCTGAAATGATCAACAGCCAGAGTGTGACATAGTGGTCAACTTTCTTGGTATCATATACTCATTACTTGCATATGGCACAATTTATTTTACAATCTGTTTAACAGTAATGCTTTAAAAATTTACATAAATGCAACATGGATTACCAACATCCCCCTTTAAAATGATTGGGTCAGTTATTTGCTTACATCAGCTCATTAAATCCATTTCACATAATATTGAGTGATCTGATTCTCACTAAAGAAAGAAATAGCAAATATATTTAGTGCATAAACACAGTAATTAGAATGGAGGGATAATTAAACCTCAAATGAACTGTTGTACGGTGTCATTTCCTCCCTGCTGGAGATTATTCTGTCTGTATTCTAGTTGCAGCACTTTTATACCATGTGCCACTAACTTCTACTAAAGCAGGATTTCTTCTAAGCTTTTTACCATCCTTTGCCAATCCCTGTTTCTTAGATCCACACTAGTTTCCTGGTGTTTGTAGGACAAGCAGCTGGCACGGCTGCCTCTAAAACGATTCAGAAAGGTCTTGTTTGTATATTTCTCTCGTCTCCTCTCCATTTGATTAGGAGTTTGCTTAATCCCTCAGTAGGCCCCGGTTATAAGCTCTTTGGTAATGACCTGCTTAATCCTCCTACTAGAGATAAAACGCACAGGCGCATTAACTTCAAAGCAGTTTACTCACTTCTCGTCTGCCTCTAAACAAAGCCCTATTATCGAGCAGTGATGCAACTGTACTTCCTGTTCTGTTGTGTTGGTTTCGTAATCTGAGCATCTGCCTGTCTTTAAGGTGACGGAGGAAGGCAGGTGGACATAACCGATTCATGTTAAAGATAGACCAAGCTCAAAATCACTGCATTGTGAACATTTGCCTTTGTCACTCAAAACAAAAATGTTGGTTAGTCATATAAAGTCCCTTTTTAAACCATTTTTAAAAGTGAGAAGTGACTACTCTTTGTCCTCAATGTTATTGTAAACTGAATATTTGTAGGTTTGGGGCTGGTCTGCAACAAGTCACGTGAAGGCGTCACATTGATCTTAAAGAAAAAGCAATTGTTCTCTATTTTCTGGCACTTTCTAGCCAAAATAAGTCATCGAATAATTGAGGAGATACTTTCCAGATGACTTTGTTATGAGAACAAGTGATAGTTGCATTATTGGTGTCATTCGTCTTGGAGACTTTTAGGATCATTTTAGCAACACTATTTTAAAAACGAGTGCCAAATAAATAAATCGAAATAAAAACAGTCTTAAGTTAATTCATATAGAAAAATAGTATTTCCAACCAACCATACAAGCTGTGTTCACATGCCTGCACACAAATATGTTAATCAATTGATCTCACTATTGGTAATACTATATTCAAGTTTGTGATTTGCATTGAAGTGACTGGTAAATTAAAGTTTGATGATAAAGCAAAATTGCAATCTTTAGACGATGCAAAACACGACACAATTGTGTATCACGATATACTTGATCACAATCTGATTATTTTAAAGGACAATAAATAATTCAGTCCTAATTGTGAACGTTCGAAATGATAGCAACTCTACTCTACGTGCATAAATGGCTGTTGCATAAAGATGAAAGCGGTTTTTCCTCCTGTCAGTTGTTGCTTTGAATTCACCCTGAAGAGCTGAACGGTATCATACTCAGGCTCACAACAGAAAAACACACACACACACACACACACACACACACAAACAGAATCCCATCTCCACAGGAGCTAACATGGCTCACAGCTTCAGCATAAGCGGATAATTTACAGGCAGTCTCAAACCTCTACCTTAGTTCACCCGTGGAGAGGAGCAGTGAAAATGTCAGGAGTTTAGTTAGGGCTACAACACCTGCATCTCTCTCATACACCGGGCTTCTGCTCCAATAGCTCCCCAAGGGTGGCTCACGAGCACTCAGCTTTTATTGCTGTGATGACTGCTCATGATTTTTACGCCAGAGGACAGCAGGATATAAAAAACAACTCCATTCACCCATCCCTCCGCTCGCTGCAGCTTCCACATGCTGTAAAGACGAACATTCAGCACTGGAGACCATCATAGAGATTAGCAGCTGGTTTGACTTGAAGTGCGTTTAACAAGGTCACAATGCTGTTGTAGACATTTCAAATCACAAGTCTCTCTTCAAAACATCTTTTCCCATCACTGCAAAACAATCGTAGTATTTAGTGCCTGCTAGAGTTTTTTTCCCAGCCTTGTACCTGGGGCTTTGGGGGATAAAAACATACAAATATTTCCAAGTGTTGTCTGTGTCAGGGAGAATTAATACACATATATTTAAGCCAGTGGATCACTTACTGCATTTTAAAAAGCTACATTCAGGGCACCCAGAGGTTTCTCATATGTTGTAGTCCATCACAGATCAAAGGCAACTGCTCACAATCAAAGTCCAAAGCCTTTGCCGATCTGCAGAAGCAGCACAAAAGACCTCGGGAATTGTGTTTTTCAGTAAAGCTGACGTTCTTTCGCGGAGCTTCTGCATAGCGTATAACTGTCAGCAGTATTATGTAGAACTTGTCAGCTAGAGACCATTAAGCTTTTACAGAATTTCATTGAATTTGCAAGCAGTCTGTAATTGTTAGCTTTCTACACAATTTGTATGTAGCTTTTAGTAGTATGAAACACAATGACAGTGCCCTAAACATTATTTTGTACATGAATGAATATTGTTCATTACATCACAAGAACTGCAAGTTATAAGTATTGTCATCATTGATTCATCTGGTGCTTCATTTCCCAAATGCTTAATCGTTTAGTCCATAACATATATTAATGATCACAGGTCTTATCAACAGTATAATGCTAAATGAGGCATTACATTACATTACATTGCATTTAGCTGACGCTTTTATCCAAAGCGACTTACAATAAGTGCATTGACCAAGAATCATATAAGTACAACAGGTTTCATAGAGCCAAAACACATGGGTTAGGGTTTCTGCCCTTCCCTCCTATCTTTATGTTAACAAAAACATAGCCACACAAACTCTGTGAAAGTGTGGCATGCTTGTAAATAAGTCAATTGAAGAACAGTTTAAAAAACACATTCCAGGATTGTTTTAAAACGTCAAAATATGTATTATAACTTCCCTTTAAATAGCAGCTCAGTGAACGCCAGGTCGTTCATCTTATGCTTATTCTGGAATTGGAAGAAATCATCTAGCCCGAGCTTCCCTAACATTATTCCTGCTCATAATGAGGGAGGAGAAAAGTACTTGATGTAGTCACATCTCCACATTTTATGTCAAGAGTGAGGTTATGTCACAAAAGTTGAATACGAGTATCTGGATGCAAAAAAAGTCCTTGATATATTTAATTAAAAAATCTCACGCCAAAGCTTTTTGAAATGTGTTTTTCTGCCGTGTAGGGTTTGATCATTCAGGTTTTCACAAAGAATATGCCAGCATGGAACAATCTAAATCCTCAACAAGCCCCTGCCTGTTATTTCAGACACTTTTCAATTTCCTGAGGCGGGACACTGGGAGCACGTAAACTGAAAAGCTGCTTTTGTTTTCAGTGCCTTTTTCCTTAATCTGTCAACCATGGAAGACTTTTATTTCCCAACACGATTGTCTTTCATCTTCTGTCCAGTTGCTTCTGTGTCTTTTATATTTTACATGTCAGTGCAGTCTTCTTTCCAGATCAAAACAACATTTTTACTTGAGGGATTATATCTGCAACACCTGCTGAGTCGAGCTGCTAACAAGTGGATTACATAAATCCATATCTCATAAACAAGTCCTCATACCTTAAAGATAAAAAAAAGATTATGCATGAGTCTGGTTCAAAGTCTTTTTCTGATCTTTCATCTCTGTATAGATAATCTAAAAAAACATACTTAAAGGTTGTGGTTAAGGTAGGAAAGGATCTAATTTATGAAATAATATAAATAAAGTGGGTGATGGTAGGTAACTGTAATTACATTTCGACACGTTGTGTTCTCCACTATCCACTGACCTCTTCCCAACAGTTTCTGTGTTCGTGTAACACACCACACACGTCCTCTGTGTGCTACAACTCATTCAACAACTGAAAAGGTTGCTTGTCAGGAAAACCAAACACAAGTAATCATAAACTTTCAACAAACAACCGGTGCTGTTGTTTTTCTGGGGAGAACAGACTCCAATAGATGTAAATGAATTTGGGTCGAAATGCATCAGAGACAATGCAGCCAATTTATGAGCAACTAGCTAAATGCTACTTGTTTGTCTCACAATTAACTCATGCGTTTGCAGATGTGATTTCCAAACTTCCTCATTTGTGGAAACACATTATAGAGGACATTAATAATAGTGTTAAATGTAATTGTTTTTGTCAACCAATTTAACAGCACATACAACAACATTTTTCAATGTTATATGTTGGATAAAATAGGAGGTTGTTGGCTCTTCTGCCTAACGAGGGATTCAGACCAATAACAGCGCTGCATTAAAACGCAGGGGGCTGTGTTGGTGGGGGGTTGGCTTTCCAAGGACAAGGAATCCAGTTGGATGAAACGATTAAGGCTTTTAAAGGTTTATCAGATGCCAAAACCTTTCCTATGCAGTTAAGAATTTTACAACTCTGTTAAGTCTTGATGGCTGCAACTATTATATCTTCCGTCACTTTAATCACAAGCTAAACTTGAAAAGCACTCGAAGAACGTAAACCTCCGCCAAGTCCATTTCCATAAGTGAATAATAATGTGTGTATCCACCCATTGATTTGGATATGCTCCAAAATGTATTGGTTTATTTCTTGACCTATGCTTCACAATTCCACCAAGTTTCATTAAAATAAGGCCTTCAGTTTGTCTGTAATCATGCTGACAAACCCAAACAAAAACACCTTCCTTGGCAAGGTACCAAAAACATTCAGGTTACAAATCCACCAGGAATGTGGGCAGGCGCATATTTGACCAAGCTTTCGAGTAAATATTATGATTCTTCGGACTCCGTATTGTTAATACCAGTTTTTTTTACAAGCGTCTGGTTTCATTGCTGTCCTTTAATCTGTATATCATGTTTTCCCCAAATAACATGGTCAGCACAAAGTATAAATCAGCCAAGTTCAGACTGCTTTCAACTCCCTGGTTTAGAGCCCGCACCGGTTTACAGACAGGCTTAGTTTAGATCAGGTTTAAGATGGTCTCAGGTCCGAGTTCACTGTCCCGTTGCTACATGGCTACGAGATGATTAGTCCCTATCTTTTCAGTTTTTGTCTTAATAAACCAATTTTTAAGTGTCTTCCAAATACATAAATAATTAATAGATTCATTTTAATTTCTCCATTCTTCCCCAAAAATACAATGTACTTCAATGTAACGGTCTCTCTTCTCTTGCTCTTCTTTAAATGACATTCTAGTTTTAGTGGAAGTTTCAATCGGGTGGTTAATGGGGAAAGGCTATGACTCTGCCAGCATAGAAAGATATGATTTTGAACCAAAAAAAAAGGTGAGTAACCCTTGTCAATGGAGACATGACATTCCTCTTCCCATGTGCTTAATGTTGTGTGTAAATACATTCGAGAAGGGACATGGCTTTAAACTCGTCTTGTATTCAGTGCGTGGCTTTACGATACTCTCCGTGCTGCAGTGCTTAAGCCCATGTCTATCCACCTTGAGCCTGAGCTCAACAGCAGCAACAAATCACTATAAAAAGAACCAATTATTTATAGTCGCTTCGTTGACAGGGGACGGTCCTACTTATCTTTCAGGGTGCAGTCCCCAGGCCCTCTGCCACGCGTTTCCAGCATTGTCAGAGCTCCTGTACGCCCGGTCCTTCATCACTGCACTAAGAAGCAGCAACATTTCTCTAAATATCCGCGATGTAAGACAATCATTAATCAGAGATGCAGGTTATTTTTCACCACTTACTGGAACAGTAGATAGATCTAGATTTGTAGTCTTTTGAAAAGGGTTTAGTTTTCATATGGGAATTTTCCTTTTTGCCTATATGGGTGGACACGCCAAGCCCCATTCCTACAAAATCAAACCCAAAAGTCAGTGTTTAGCTTTACCAGTTGACATCCTAGAACTTAATATAGCAGGGGGGTATTTTTCATCTACAACTTGCACTTCCTCAACATATACTTGTTGAAGCAGTTTTGAAGTTAACTTTCCTATGTAGTAAGAGACATTCACTTTGTTCAAGAGGCTGCTAGCATTATAATGTGACTCTGCAAAGCTGTAGGACATTTCTATCTTCCAATTAATGCACATGAATTGAGCTGACCTTTGCTAGTGTCTAGTTTAAGGTGGGATATTGAAACGAACTTGGGGAATAATGATTTTCCTCCCCCTCCCTCTTTCATCAGAGGACCGGAGTGTCGTCAGTGTAATAGTGAATTCTTTGAGCAGTGAGCTGTAATTAGTGTGGAGGAGGCGACCTCAGTGTGTGTATTGATTTCCAACTGGCTTGGTGAAAATGCCAAAAACACAGAGGACATGAAAACATGGATCAGGACTGAGTCATCCAGTTACGTGTCTCTTTGCATTGTTAGAAGTCTTCATTTATATACAATTAAGCCATCGACAACTTATAAATAAAATCGGAATTTGTGAAATCTGAGCAAGGCATATCACTCCAATATTAAATGTTGAATGCTCTACCTAAAGTTTAAAAAGAGTCCAGAACATTTCCGTGAAAATTAATTGGGGTATAAATTGAAAATGCACAAAACATATCATCTGATATAGACGGAATATAAACGATCATTTTGTGACAGTAACCTTTATGTAAAAGAAAATGTTCGGGTTTGGAAATGTCAATATACATTTTAATTGCAAGTTGGAGTGTAGACCTTTGAAAGTAAGTAATTGGGACGATGTAAGGGACCTGGGCTCAGCACTTAAAAACAATGTAATAGGTAAACAAACAATATATAACGTGTCAATAAGTAAGCTTTAGTGGTGCCTGTTGGTCGTTTTTGTATTACTGTTGGACATAGCAGGGCCAGCTGTCTATAATTATTTTTGCCAGATAGAAGAGTTTCTGATCAAAAGTGAATTCTGAGCGCCTTCAAACAAGAAGTAAAAAATGAAGGACGAGTAGATTGGATTTATTGCAGACGAGGGTTGTTTGTTGCTTTACAAATAAGAGACATGCGCACATGCTGGCAACTAATGCATAGTCCTAAGCCTCTAATTGGTTTTAGTGGGACGGACCACACTGAGTGGCGTTGGTTTCCTGTCTTCATGTGCTTCTGACTCATTTTCATCTAGACAGACAGTGAGCAAAAATGTGTGTTTGACACAAATTACAACTTGTCATCTATTTTGAGAAATCTTCTCCAAGCAGCATTCTCTTGGGTTTATGTCATTTCCCACGAAATAATCACGAGATAACACTTGAACAGTGTGGTTATGTCACTCATAGACTTATCGGTCTAGTCTATTCTATGGGATTAACGATTCCCCAGCTAGATCTCTCCTGATTTATTTGTATATGGATGCATGTGCATAACAAAGACTTCAAACATGGCCCGGCTATAACAGGATGAAAGGACATATTCTTCGAAAACGATTTCATTCAAAGCCTGACCAAAACTAAAACTGCCGATTATGACCGAGAAATTATATCATGAAAGTTACGGTGCTTATTAAGCATTTTAAAATGTATCTGTTAAGTTGCCAAAGTGCTTTGTTTTGAATGTTCATCAGTATTATAATCAAAAAGAGAAATATGAACGTTAGTTTTTACTGAAATGATCAAATAAAGTCAACATTTCACAGTCTTTACTGAGCTGTGTGGGGTTTGTTCAACTTTTAAAAGATGTTTGATGGTGATAGTGATAGATGTTAAGGACTAACGTTTATAATAAATACATTTGTATTTATTTTAAAATCTTTTCATACAATCATACGTATTGGGATCATTTGTATTAATGTGGACCGGAGGGAGAGGGTGACGAGCAGAAGTTTCACTTTCATTTTTTATTTCAATTCCAGCTTTGGTCATGAAGAATATGTTTCTCTGTTGTTCATAAAGCATAAAGCAACAGCATCAGAGCACGGTGCAGAGTCTCTAGATGAGTCCCTCGTTCTTATTGTACATCCATGTTGTAGTCCGCTGTATAGAAAACTGTAGTTCCAACTTTCTATAGTTTCCCCACAGCAGCAGACTCATATTCATGATGCATCATAAACACGTCAGATAGTGAAAGTGCATTCGGATTCTCTAAAGTACCGCAGTCTCTTCTCCTAAGTCCTTTTGAATTCTCCTATCGACTATCCATGTGACGTTTCACACAGAGGTCAAGGAATAGATGATAGGGTTAGATGTTAGGAGCTGATTTTTCGATTATCCGACCGCAACCTCAGACCCATTGTAGCTGAAAGAACACGCTATGCACTGTGCACACACAGTCTGACCACTCACTGTAGCGTTAATCCAAATCCTCCCACAATAAAAAAGTATCTTGTAAAGTCATGGCTCCAGGTCAGGAGTAGAGGAGTAATATGATCTTTGAAGTGAAGGCAGATTCAACAGATAAGATGTTCTTCATGGATTTTACGTCATTGCATTTACATTTGCACCTTTTTCCCATCACATAATAATGATTAAGTAGGATATGAGGAGTCAATACTGTTAAATGGCTTTTAAAAAAATGTCTTCAACGGTGCTGAGAGTTGTAGATTGCATGGTAATGGGCCCGACATATAATCAATGCTACATGCTTCTAACGTATCCCATGTGTTTGTCATGCAGGCGAGCTGTCACCATGCGCTGCCTGGCTGCTCGGGTGAACTACAAAACCCTCATCGTTATCTGCGCCCTCTTCACACTCATCACTGTGTTGCTATGGAACCGCTGCACCAGTGACACCTCGCTTCACTTCCTGCCTCGTGCTGCAGTGGTGGCTCCAAGTCCCAATGTGGGGGATGCTAGCATCAGCAGCCAGCAACACCCCCCACAACCCCCGGAGCCCCCACCTGTTGTTGGTGTTGCCGCGGGGATCAAGTATGAAGAGATCGACTGCCTGATCAATGATGAGTCTACAATCAAAGGCCGACGAGAGGGCGGAGACGTTTACCTGCCCTTCAGCTGGATGGAGAAGTACTTTGAGGTGTACGGCAAGGTGGTGCAGTACGACGGCTACGACCGCTTTGAGTTCCAGCACAGCTACTCAAAGGTTTACGCACAGCGCGAGCCCTACCACCCCGATGGAGTCTTCATGTCATTTGAGGGATACAATGTGGAGGTCCGCGACCGTGTCAAGTGTATAAGTGGAGTGGAAGGTGAGACTTTTATATATCATTATCTTCTTTATATAGATATTTGGTGATACACCCTTCTTAGATATTACACGTTCACACTTACATACTTACAGTTTGAGTCACTGTACATCTGAATATTAGGGTTACATACATTCTTTAAGAAACTTCTACAATCTGTCTAAACGCTAAAGATCTGAAAGAGTACTTGCTCTTGAATCCATGCTTCTTGAGAAACAGTGTCAGGTGTGTGTGTAGCAAAGATCAACAGTCCATCTCATTGGACGACATTGCTATCACTTTGACAAAAAAGAAGAGGCTCTAAAAAAAAGTGAACGTGATCAGAGAACAACTTAATTTGTTGCAGATAAAAATGGGTTCTATTTAGAGATGATCCGATCGGGGATCGGAGCCGATCACGTGATTTTCAAAAGATCGGAATAGCGAGAAAAAAATCTGGGATCGGAAATCTTTTTTCTTTTTTATAAAATATTTTTATTATTTTATTTAATGTTACAAAACAAAAATGACCATATTCACGTCTTAAAGTCATCCTGAGGCCTTAGTTTTGGTTTAAAAGTACACAACATCATGTATGTGTTGCTTCTTTTGGGCTTGTTTTCATAGACCTGGTTGCTTATTTCTCTCAAATCTGGCAACAGAGTGGGCAGGGCGCAGTGTCTAATAGTAGCAGTAAGCTAACGAGAGGCTACGTTCAGCTGGTGGCTCAGGAGTCGGGACAGAGAAAATGTCAGGAGTTTGGAAATATTATAAAATTGAAAGTGAAGGCAGTGTAACAGCCAGATGCAATGTTTGCAAGCGGAGGTTCCGCGTGGTGGAAAGAACAGAGCTACGTTCAACACGACCAATCTAATACGCCACCTGAGAAACAAACACCAACAACAACACGACGATTACACAGCGGCCACTCAGGTAATGGCACTGAAACAACTGACACTTTCAGAGACTTTTCAAAGGAAAGAGAAACTGCCCCAGAACAGTGAAAAGGCCCAAAAAATAACAGCCAAGATAGCTGAATTCATCGCGTTGGATGACCAGCCGTTATCTGTTACCTTTTTTTTCTCTTAATGCATTGCATAAAGATCGGATCGGGAAAAATCGCTATCGGCAGATTGTCAAAATCAAATGATCGGAATCGGATCGGGAGCAAAAAAAGGTGATCGGGACATCCCTAACACTAAGTAACATACACACACACCACACACACATACACCCCGAGAACTCACCCTTTGTGAAAAACAGAACAAACGGTGAACATTGGCTAGTATGGTGAATATTATTGTATACCTACGTTCCACTTTGTGTAATTAGACGTGGACTGTGTTGTCATTTTTAGTTTATTCTCGGACTTTGCCCGAGGTGTCACTGTGAGTCGAAAATTTTGCTTTTTTTTTTTTTCCCGTTCCTTCCCCTGACGTAACTACAACCATGTTCGACCGGCCGAGACACACTAAACCAGTTGCTGATTGTACTTGGAAGCGGATAGTCAATGTGTACCACAACCCTCGCGATCGGTT